ATGGGGCTTTATTCTGGGCAGGACATGTACCCTGGGCAGGGCTTGTACCATGGATGGTGCTTGTACTCTGGGCAGGGCGGAGTTTGACAACCAGTCACCAGTTGCCCACGTTTCCACTTTAACTCCTGGTGACCCCATGTGTGTCAGTAGAACTGTGCTCCACAGGGTTTTCAGTGGCTTGATTTTTCGAAAGTTCATTACCAGCTTTTTCTTCTGAGGCACCTCTGGGTGGAATTGGACCTCCAGCTGTTGGGTTAGCAGCCGAGCTTGTTAACTGTTCACATCAGTTCAAATTGACTTGGGTTTGACAGGAAGGTATCGAATGTTCTGTTACCAGGCAAACATCACACCTTTTCCCTGGCTTTCTCAGTAGGTGAATGAGGGCCCCTTTTGAGAGAGGCAAAACATGGTTTGGGGATTTATCTAAGCTCCAAAACTTTGTGAATATATGGAGCAGAAGACTCAGGATTCACTGAGCACCTCTTTGCCATCACCATCTTTTTCCCAGCATTCATGTGGCACCTCCAGGGGCCAGGCTCCCTATGCCCTCACCATCCCAGGTTCTTCACTGGGCTCCAGGGCTTATTCATCTTTGTGTCCCTGGCGTTAGTACATACCTGAAGTCCAGCAGGTGCTGTCAACGTCCTCATCATAAATGAATGTGTATGTGTCACGTTTCCTGTACTTGGCATAGCTCTTTGAAAATACCAAGGCTCTTTATTTACAAAGTGAAGGCAGCAGTATTACAAATTTGATTCTGTTACCTAGGTAATATAGTTTCACATTGTTTGGCTTCTGGGGTATTACTCTTTCCTGATTTTCTTAGTCTTCTCTGACTGCTACTTCTCTATGAAGAGGAAGGTTTCTCCTTTGAGGGGGCAGTGGTGGTTCAGTGGTAGAACTCTTGCCTTCCATGTGGGAGACCCAGGTTCAATTCCCAGCCAATGCACCTCATGCACAGACACCACCCGTCAGTGGAGGCGTGCATGTTGCTGTGATGCTGAACGGGTTTCAGTGATGCTTCTGCCTAAGATGGACTAGGAAGAAAGGCCTGGTGATCTGCCTCCAAAAATCAGCCAGTGAAAACCCTATGGGTCACAATGGCCTGATCTGCAGCCAACCATGAGGATGGCACAGGACCAGGCAGCATTTCGTTCTGTTGTGAATGGTGTCTACCTGAGTTGGGCTAACCTGATGACAACTAACAACAATGATGACGTTGCCTCTGAGAGCCCATCTTCCCCTGCATCTCTTCCGTGTTGGCTTCTCCAGGGCTCTCCCTTGTTCCTCTTCATGCTGCGCTTTGCGCATGCTCCCTGGTGGTGCAGTCCCTCCCCGGGGCTTCCCTGCCAGGTATATCCTGACGCCTTCCAATCCACTTTATGAAGACTTTCCCTGGGCTTTAGACCAACCTACCTGCCCACTGAACATCTCCCACATGGTGGCCCACATGTATCTCAAAGTTGGTATTGGCAAAGCGAAGCTTATTATTCCCACTTCCACGTTCTCTGAATTCCCCATCTACCTGGTCACCTAGGACATAAAAAAACAGGCTTCTCCCTGATGCCTCTCTTTACTGTATCTCCTCATATTTAATAGGTGACAAAGAAGAGCTCCATGGAGTCCACCTCTTCAACCTCTCTCTCTGCAATCACTTTTTTTTTTTTTTCCCAGTTGCTATTGAGTTGATTTGGACTCATGGCAACCACGTGTGCGTCAGAGTGGGGCTGTGCTCCATGAGGTTTTTGATGGCTGGTTTTTTTGGAAGTAGGTCACCAGGCCTTTCTTCCGAGGTGCCTCTGAGTGGACTTGAACCTCCAGCCTTTTGGTTAGTGGCCAAACACATGAACCGTTTTTATCACCCAGGGATTGCTATCACTCACCTCTTTGGTAGGAGCCCTGGTGGTGCAGTGATTAAGCATTTGGCTGCTAACCAAAAGGTCAGCAGTTCGAATCCACCAGCTGCTCCTTATAAACCCTATGGGGCAGTTCTACTCTGTCGTATAGGGTCACTGTGAGTCGGAATTAAATCCTATGTTTAGTTTGGCTCTTTGTACTTCATACCTGCAGAATTGCTGTAACTTTTGGGCCTGTTTTTCTGCCAAGGTCTTGCCCTCCTACAGTGCATCCCTCACAGAGTACCCTTTCCTCCCTGCCCTGCTCTCTCTGCTGCTGCCCCACTAAACAGGGTCCCCCGAACTGCTGGCCTCTTTCATACCGACCTGCCTCTCCTCAGGCTGCTTCCTGTTCTTGGCCTCCCCGCTCCCCCCACCCCCCACACCCGCTCTGCCTTGTCACCTTCAGCTTCAAAGACAAGTAAAGAGCCCTTAGATCAAAAGACTTAGCTCAAGTGTCTCCTTTTCTGTGGAGTCTTTTACGGCCCCAGGGAGAATTCACTACTTCCTTCTGTCCCCACTCAGCCCTGCATGGACTTTTATCATGTCATCTGTTACATTTTGTTATACGCATCTGCTTGCCTCCCACCCACCCATCGCCTCCCCCCAGATGATAAGCTCATCTTGAGAGCAATGACTGTTATCTTACTCATCTTCATATCCCCAGATCTAGGGTGGTGCCTGGGAAATAGCCAGCGTGTAAAAACTGTGTTGGACAGATGGATAGCCAGATGTATGTATGCCAAATACATTGGGAATCAGGGCTGTTTTTCCTTCAGGAATCATTTAGGCTGGTCTCTCTTAAACCATGGTGCACACATCAGACTAGAGGGCCTGGAATGGGGTGATGAGAGCAGATCACTTTTCTGGCTTTGGGTCTGATCTTATTTCCCATGCAGTCAGCCTGCTGGTGAGTGGACTCCCTCTTGGTGCAGCCTGGGAAAAGACCAGCCCAAATTTGCTCACCTGTCTTTGCTACCTGCAGGTGGCCCAGCAGCGGCTCATGCGTTTGCTGTCAGCACTGCCTTAGCCAGGCTGACACTTTCGACAGCCAACAACATCGCGGTGTGATTTGGATCCCTGGCCCTTTTCTGGAAGGGATTAGGGTGTTGGAAGAGACAAGAGGAAGAAGAAATTGGAGCTGTAGAATGCTGTAGACCACGAGGAGTTTCCTTTAGGTCTCCCCCGTCTTGGAAACAGGTGTCTATGTGTTGTTGTTGTTTGGTGCAGTTGAGTTGATTCTGACTCATAGCCTATGTAGTGATCAGTGATACGAGCACGGTCAGGTGACAGCATCCCTATCCATGAGTTCCGTCAGCTTCCTAGGACTCACATAGCTTCTAGAAGTCTCCTAGAGATCATGGTCCTTTCTTCTTCCCTCATGCTGGACAGTTTCGTCATCAGCAATTCCATCCATGCCTTTTCGGCCTAAGTCACTCAGAAAAGTACAAGATCAATGATGTCTCGTTTTGCTAACTGGGATCAGAAACCATTTGGTGTCACCTTCGTTGAGGAGACGGTTCTACTAAGGATAAAAAGCTCTTCTGTAGTTTGATAGAGGCTGGTGTTTCCGGCTCTCTTGAATTTGTTAATTTGAGAACGGATAGAGAGTATTGTTGAGGGTGGGATGTGGGTATAGTTGTAGGCTGGAAAACCATATGCTCTAATTACCTTTAACGTTATTTCTTAACCTTTACTCTGGAAGTTAGAAAGGGTGTGCCGTTTCATTTGGAACTTTAAATTTAGGATGAAATTGTGGTTGATGCCAGAAAATTATGCTTGTAAATGAGCAAGCTATGGATTGTAATAAGAATCTATGATACTACATCATTGGTTTTCTAAGATGTCCTTGGCAGTTTTGCCCTCACTTAGCCAAAAACAAGAAAGTACCAACAGTGTTCACTGCTGTTTGATTCTTGATCCAAATAAATTATTTAATATCAGAGCTTAGTGAAATATAGTTTACACATCAATGGGAAAGTGAAGAGATTTAAGTCATTGTTTTGATTGCTCTACTTTGACCAAAACAGGTAGAAGACGTTGCTTCTTTAATTGGCAAGAGCCCAGTTCTCTTTCAGACCAAATATATGCATATTGTAACTTCGGTGTCACTGTTGTTGTTGTTAGCTATTGTTGAGTCGGCTACGACTCATGGGGACCCCAGGTACAACAGAACAAAATGTGCCCCCGTCCTGCACCATCTTCACAACTGTTGGTACACTCGAGTCCACTGTTGCAGTCACTGTGTGTTTTGAGTGTCTTCCAACCTGGGAGGCATATCTTCCAGCACTATATTGGACAGTGTTCTATGGCAATCCATAGAGTTTTCGTTGGCTAATTTTTGGAAGTAGATCACCAGGCCTTTCGTCCTAGTCTGTCTCAGTTGGTAAGCTCCACTGAAAGCTGTCTACCATGGATTAACCTGCTAGTATTTGAAATAGTGGTGCCATAGCTTCCAGCACCATGTTGTATTATTATTAGTTGCTGTCGAGTCAAATTCCAACTCATGGCGACCCCATGTGTGCAGAGTAGAACTGCACTCTATAGGGTTTTCAAGGCTGTGACCTTTCAGAAGCAGATCGCCAGGACTGTCTTCCAAGGCACCTGTGGGTGGGCTCAAACTGATAGTATCAGCTAGTAGTCGAGCACTTAACCATTCACGGCACCCAGGACTCCTCCAGCATCATAGCAACATGCAAGCCACTACAGTACATATGACAAACTGACAGATGGGTGATGGTCAGTGTCACCAAAGACTGCTCTATACCACCTTCTAGGATGTTAGTTGAAGGTCCCTGAGTGGCGCAAACCGCGCTTCACTACTAACCTAAAGGTTGACGGTTTGAATCCACCGAGCAACACTATGGAACAGAGGCCTGGTGATCTGTCTCCATAAAAATTACAGCTAAGACAACCCTATGGAGCAGTTCTACTGTGTAACAAATGGAGTCGCCATGAGTTGGAATCGACTTGACGGCCACAGATTTTAAGGTTGTTAGTCACCTGTCCCCTTGCCTTTTCTTTGTGTGAACCTTTAATCCTGTCACTACTATTATCTGCAAATGACCAAACTCGTTTAGTCTGTTTTTGTCATTTCTTATGCAGATTTCAGCAATGTCCCTGACGTCACGACTGGCCTGAAAAGGAGTCAGACCGATGGCACCCTGGACCAGGCTCCCCACAGGGAGAAAATGGAGCAGACCTTCAGGGTAAGATGCCATCCCAGATCTCACGCCAAGGGCCAGCAGGCAGGTGTGCATCCCCACCTGCCCCTGAGGTGGGGAAAAGAAGAGGAAGTTATTCTATCCCTGTGTCCGGCAGTCAATACAAGCATTCTTTTTGTTAAATGAAATAGTTTCCTCTTTCATTTGTATTTTTAAAGTGAAGTCCTAACAGGAGCCACACTGCAGACCCCCTTCGTGATATCTTCATGCCACGAAAGAGAGATGCAAACACTGCCATTCCTACACCAGGTGGCTTTGCTCTGGCTACTTGGACCGAGAAACGTTAAGTTCAAGTGTTCTGAAAGCCACGTGCAATTACTGTTCTCTTCCTTTGCTACATTGCTAACTGCTCAGGGTCGACCCTCCTTTCAGAAATGGTCTGATGGACACGATCTGTTTTCATGCACACCCTAGTGTGAACTGATTTTGAAATGATCACTGTCTTCTATTTCTTGCTCTGGTCTTGAATACAAAATAAGAATTGAGAAAATATAAGCTGTAACAGGTATTTATATAAAACTTATAGCAGGACCACTTGGGTTTGGACGAATACCACCACGGGCCAATCCCTTGGTGACTGGCCAAGTGGTGCACCTTTGATGACAATGACACCCCCTCTGACATGGTGGTTCAGGTTAGAATCTGCCAGATTCAGAGTGGATGCAGGAGGCTGCTGGCACCTGCTCCTCCACTCCTCTCGCTTTCCCTTTCTCTCTCCCTTGATGCCTTGATTTTTCCCTATCTAAAACCAAAAACCAGTTGCCCTTGAGTCAATTCCAACTCGTGGCAACCCCATGTGTGTCAGAGTAGAACTGTACTCCATAGAGTTTTCAATGGCCAATTTTTCAGAAGTAGATCACCAGGGCTTTCTTCCGAGGTGCCTCTGGTTAGCAGCCAAGCATGTTAACCATTTGCACTACCAAGGGACTCCTAAAAAAGTTGCCATCAAGTTGATTCTGATTCATGGAGACCTACCTCCTCCCAAATCCTCTCCCCTCCCTTGTCCAATTGCTCATACAAAATCAATGCTCAGCTGCTTCCACTGGTCTGGGAATGCCCCCAGGATGCAGTTGCTTTTAGTAAACTGAAATCCTTCAGCATTCTTAGTCTTACTATTCTGTTTCATTTCTGGTAGGTAATTTACTTTAGGGAACCCAATATTATAATATTCATCAATTTTCTTTTCTTTTTAAATAATATTTTATTGTGTTTTCTGTGAAAGTTTACACAGCAGATTAGGTTCCCATTCAACAATTTCTGCATAAATTGTTCAGTGACATTAGTTACATTCTTCATAGTGTGTGAACATTCTCATTATTTCTGTTCTGGATGTTCTGTTTCTAGTTACCTAGTTTCCTTGCCCTCTTACTTTCTCATCTCTCTCTCTTTTTTTCTTTGTCTTTAAAGTAATTGTTGACCCTTTGGTCTGATATAGATGATTTTCTTTAAAGGCGCACAGTACTCACAGGTGATATTCTTTATTTTGTGAGCCAATCTGTTATTTTGTTAAAGGTGAAAATAGAATACTCGCTAGTGGTAGCCGGGCACCATCTAGTTCTTCTCGTCTCAGGGTAGATGAGGCTGTGGTTTGTGTAGACAGTCTTGTAGACTAGTTTCTTCTTTGAGTCATTGATGTCCATCTATCACTTTTGTTCCGAATGAGTAGAGACCAGTAGTTGTATCGGTAGCACAGTGGCTTAAAAGTTCGGCTGCTAACCAAGAGGTCGGCAGTTCGAATCCACCAGCCGCTCCTTGGAAACCCTAGGGGGCAGTTCTCCTCTGTCCTGTAGGGTTGCTATGAGTCGGAATCGACTCAACGGCAATAGGTCAATGGATTTAGTCATCAATTTCCTTTTGAAGCAGTGGATCCTAGAGCATCAGATAGATATGTTGTGATTGCTTTGTCTTAAATTTTTTAAAAAGGCAAGTACTTCTGAAACACTGGTGACACTGGGCCCTCTCTTTAAGGTAAGTGTGCCTGTGGGCCAGTGGCACAGTGTGGCAGCTGGTGGGAAACCACTTAACGCCATTTATGGGAATGACATCCTCTCTGTTAGAGTCTGCTTGAGTTGCACATTAAAGTTCTTAAGAAGGAAATGTAATTTTTTTCCAAATTTTATTTTAGTTTAAGATTCAATAAAATGACTGTGCAAAAAGTCACAGTGTTAAGGCCATTTCCAACTCTACTATTTAATAATGCCTTTACAGCTAAGTGTGGAGCACTGATAAAATGGACACTGGGGCATTAAACAGTTAGAAACCTGGAAGGGGGGTGAACGTTGCAATTCAGCTGGAAATTGGGGCTGTTGAGCTTTAATTTTCATTGCTAAAATGGTTAAAGGAGAAAGAAAGAAAAAAAAGACACAGAAGGAAAAAGAATTGAAAGAGAATATTAGCGTGTTAAGGTGCCCTTTTGGCACATGGGTAAGCACTTGGCTGCTAATCAAAATGTTGGCAGTTTGAACCCACCACCTGCTCCTCATGGGAGGGACCTGGCACTCTGCTCCTGTAAAGATTACAGCCTAGAAAACCCCATGGGGCAGTTCTGCTCTGTCCTATAGAGTTGCGATGAGTCCGAACGGACTCAAAGGCACACAACAACCACAACATTTGCTGGAGTCCCTGGGTGGTGCAAATGATCGACATGCTTAACTGCTAACTGAAAGGTTGGAAGTATGAGTCCACCCAGAGGCTCTCGGAAGAAAGTCCTGGTGATCTACTTCTGAAAACTCAGCCCCTGGAAACCCTGTGGAACACAGTCCTGCTCTGCAGCACGTGGTGCCACCATCGGTCCGAATCAACTCGATGACAGCTAGTGGTTTTTTTTTAAGCATTTGCTGGCAAGTTCCTCTGTAGTCTAAAGGGATTGTCACCTCACCTTTTCAGATACGAAGATACCTAGCTACATATAATTGATTTCAGTCAATTTTCAGAAATCCTAGGGAATGCCTAGCGCTCACTCAGTTCACATGTTCCTTAGAGAAGAAGTAGTGACAATGTAAGTAATAACTGTGATGGATAGTAGTGAAAAGAAAAGAAAAGTTTAGAATTTAAGGAATTCTTTTGTATTTTTCCTTTATGTTATCATTTTTTTCTTATTTTTAACTCCCAAAAGCATTAAAAAAAAAAAAATTTCCATTGAGTCTGTTCTGGCTCATAACGACCCTAAGGACAGAGTCGAACTGCACATCTTTCTCCCACAGAGCGGCTGTTGTGTGTGAACCACCGACTTTTCAGTTAGCAGCTGAACACTTAACCACTGCGACACCAGGGTTCCCCCAGAAGCATTAGATTATGCCTAAAAGCAGTATGTTTTTCTTTAATACGCTATTTTCTAGAATAGTTGTAGGTTTATAAAAAACATCGTGTAGGAAGTTTCCGTAGGCCCCCCTCCCACTGCACAGTTTCCCCTCTACTAACATCTTGCATTTGTGCAGTATATCTGTTACAACTGATGAACCAATTTTATGTGACGCTGTAATGGTGATACACGGTATTAATGCATCTGTCAAAACCCGTGGAACGGTACAACATAGAGTGAACCTTAATATAAACTATGTGCTTTACTTCATACGTTTCTGTTTTTAAAATACAGATTTGGGAGTTTTGTGATGCGTGCATGCCCAAGTGTGTGCTGGGGTAGATCTTTCCGATCGCCTTAATGAGCGATCCCAGTGATGCCCCTGAAGGTGACACTCTCCAGAAGAGCCGCCCTTGTCCCAGGCTTCCCCCTCTGGCCCAAGTGCTCTCTCCGGCATCAGTAACTTCTCTTCAGGTTAGACCCTGGTTGAACCTGGGCTGTTTGGGATGTTTTACTAACCAGTATTCTAGACTTTAGAATGAGGAATAATTTCCCTTGAAAATCAAATGCAGCCTGGCTTGATGAAGCACAGCTGTAACCAGGGCTTCTGACAGCCCCGCAATTTCTGCAAATGGTTCATAATTGATCGCCTTCTTTCTCTTCAAAGGTGCCTATTACTGTCACAGCTCTTTGTGTGACCTTGTCAGCCTCTCCTGTGTGGGGGACTTCTCCCCCCGCCAGTATTGTTGGCAACTACTGTGTACTATTGTAATAGTTGGGAGTTGAAAGGAATAAACAGTTTCTCTGTGGGTGAGGGGGTTGAGCAGCTTTGGGTTTGTTCTGGGAACTTGAGGTGTGTTAAGCAGTCACCACAGAGGGCTGCTTGCGTGCGGCTCCTGCTCTTGGAGCTAGCTCTGAAGAGGTGGCAGTCTGTGGTTCTGTCGTCTCGTCTCCGTGGTGTATGCCATCACCTGGTGCCTTTCCAGAGAAGGCTCACAGCATGGGGTAGTGACACAGAGGAAGGGGGGGCCCTCCCGGGTCACCGGTGCTGCTGTGGAGAAAGAGATTGGTGGCGCTAGGATGTCCTTGTGAATGCAACTTGGAAGAACAGTTTGGGATTATTTCACTGCGTGGGGATGAGAGCGAGAGAGAACATGTGTTTTACTCATTTCGCAGCAGACGACTGTAGATGTGATCATTTTCCCCCGAGGGAGCAGGTGTCTTTGAACTTTTCCTTTGTATGTGCAGCATGTAAGTGACACGGGCTTTGATTCTCATGGCTCTCCATGCTGAATGCCAAATGTTTGCATGGTCTTATTTTCTCTTTATTGCAAATGGCTCTTACTCTAAAAAATGTGTAAAGACTTACGCTGATGAAAAGATATGCCTTTCTTTCCAGAAGGAATTCTAACGGTAATCTTTAAATACTCTTTCCAGCTAAGAAGAAGAAGAAAACTTCTTTGGGATACCAGTGGTAATGCGGTATTGTCAACTTTTCCTTTCTCATTCCGTGGATGTCTGGGTTTTTAAACTGATCTCTAGAACGGTTTTGTTCATCTGAAATAGAAAGGTCTCAGAAAGGTCTAGAGACATTTCAGATATTTAACCTGTAAAATACGTTGGAAAGGAGAGAGAAATCATTTCATGCTTTACAAAATTTCTTTGGGGCGTAGCACAGATCTTG